GACCTTTTCCTCTCATAAAAATACCTGAATTAGAGTAATTAGTGGGCTAAGCCTCTCTTGTGTCACACCACATATCGCCTTTGAAGGTCCACTTGTCATTGTGAATTACTCCTCTTAAAAGTGACTTATGCTGTTAACCTCGGACGGACAATGGACTTCGTTTTTATCAGAAGGTTTGTTTTCCCATTTTATAACATTCCTTGATTTATTATTATTATTACTTGATTACATTTTATTTTGATGCGATTATAACCACCCATTTCTGTAATGTAGGTCTAAAATGAAGCTAATGCTATCAGCTAGTTAGCTAGGTTTAGCATAAAAGAATGGACATGTTTTCAACAGTTCATTTCATTAGGTGACCCTCCTTTGTCGTCTTCTGTCCATACATTTATGCATTGCCTTTCCTCACGGATGGGTTTTGCATACATGTAAGTTAACTCAAAGTAAGCGTGACAGAAGTTGTTGTCAAAATGAACATTTCACATTAAACGTGCATTGATATAGAAGGCTTATTTGTTTCCATTCCAATTAACACTGCCAAGATTCCTCATTGTTTCCAGTGACTTTCATGTGTATGATTTAATGTCCCGATTTTCTCCTGTTTCAAAGAAAAAGTTTGTCTCTTCTTAAACAGAACATGTACAAATGATCATTATAGGAGGTGAAAAATGGACGTCAGAGCCACTGTAGATCCTTCCAGTAAGTGTAACTCAACCTTCCCTGACTTGAGTGATCTGACTCGTCTGATGACAGCTCAGTGATAACAGTTACACCCCCACCCTCCAACCCCAACTCTGCCTGTAGTAACAGAGATGACATGACCAGATAGACTAATGACAGGGGAGAAAGACACTGGCAGACAAGTGACCGGGCATGCTTTTTCCATAACAAATCCTCGTTTCTAATACAAGAAACGAATAAAGAAAAAGTTCTTTGTTTTTCTTCCTCGGGGAGGAATTTTCGCTGAGACAGTCGGTAGCAAAGTCAGAGGATGATTCAGACACTTTTCCATTTCACTGTCTGCTCTTGATGATGTTTTCTGGGCTACCAGACCATCACAATACAGCGAAGCCCAGATTCCCACAGCTTGATTGACAGGTTTCCTTTAGGCCAAATCTGGAACCACTTACCTCATTCGCACAAAGGGGGTTGGAGGTTTTGGAGCTGGGTTATACAAGGTCACAGAGAGAAGGGGCCCGATGGGTCAGGACCAGGAAAGGAGACTGATTTTTTTTTTATGTGTATGGCATGGTGACACCAAGCTGTTTCTCCAGCTAGCTTAATTTAAGCTAATTTCAAAGATTTAATTGCCGAATGTCTGATTTCACTGCATTTGGGTTTGCTGATTTTTTTATTTTTTATTGTTTTTCTGGTCATGGCAGATGGCTGTCTACCAAAGAGTCTGGTTCTACTCAAAGCTTCTGCCTGTTAATCTCAGGTTTTTCAGACCACTGTGCTTGCTAATTGGAAGATTAATAATGGGTCTTTGTAATTAATATTACAGCACAGCACCATGAGATAACTTTTATTTGTGCTATATAAACAAAAAAAAAAAAAAGAATTCTAAATTAACCAGATCTAAACTTTTAGATAAGAACTGAAATCAGCGCCCATTTTTTCTATTACTTTCAAATGTAAATCAATGTACAAACATGAGCAGAGAAGCAAAGAATACCAATTGTAGTTCTAAATGAACATGATAACATCTTTGGTAACTAAACAGGCTACTCCGTGACAGATGAGCCTGCTACAGTTCAGGTAACATGCCTTCTAAGAACCAGAGACACTGATGGAAAGATAACCTCCTTATGCAGCAAATTGCCATTCATCGCTTACGCTGCCATCACAAAGCATCGAACCCACATCAATCTGGATTGTTTTTAAAGCAGTGTTCCATAAAGAAAAGAGGAGGAGAAGTCAGGATGTAGTCAAAAGACGGATTCAGTGATGTACAACGTGCAGCGCCTGGCTCCAACACTTTCGTCAACCGTGCTGTGCTTCCAGGAACTAAAAAAGGTGACGGGGCAGGATTTACTAACCCAGAGGCCCCTTTTGTTCTCTGAACGCCACACTGATCCTCCGCTTCCTCTCTGGCTGTATGCGCAGGCCTATAGGCTTACCTTTTATACTCCTCTCTCTCCCTTTCTGTCTGCTGTAAATAGGCTTAAAGTTACAGATGTCTGTGTGCGAGCACAAAAAGCCGAGGTGAAGCACAGAGGAGAGCAGGTGGAAAGAGAGCAGCTTGGGCACAAAAGGTGACGATCCTGTTTCTCATTAAAAAGTTGAGCAACTACATGTGTGTTTTGAGTGTGTAGCTCTATATATATATATATATATATATATCGTGTGTGTGTGTGCAACAGGTGAATTGATAGGGGACAGTCAAAACTCAAAAACAATTTTTTTTTTCTGATTTTTCACCCTCATTTCACTGCTACTTTTTGTTAGCTTTAGCAATTTTGCAGTGTCGCAAAGTATTTGTTAACATCTGTTGCCAGGTACCTTACAGCTGTACCACAACATATTCTACTGCTGCACTCTCTCTCTCTCTCTCTCTCTCTCTCTGGATAAGAGCTTAAAGACTTAAAAGTAGGTAAATTCAAGTAGTAAATCACGCTGTCAGATGGTGTCAGAGCAGCAGCCAGCTGGGTGAACACGGGCGTCAATGGGTTCCTAGGTGTGTGGGCCGTCTGCCTGGCTGGCTGGCTGGCAGGGACAATAAGCCATACTGTTTGACCTGCCCTGTCTGTCCCACTGCCAACTTTCACGGACATTCAAACAACTTCTCTTCCCTCCCCTGAATCCTGAGTGGAGACTGTAACTTTTATACAAATACTAAGCCACACATCTGGGCTGCTGCCTTTAAATACTCTTATTTAAGTTCATGTTAATCCATGTTTGTGACCAATGTAGTTTATATTCAGACTTAAAACAGTGCCATGAGTATTATTATTATGTTTCTATTCATAATGAGACCAATCTCTCAGTTAAAAAGAAAAATGTGCGGCTTTTTGATCCAGTAGATGTCGCCCTTGAGCACCAGCACTAAACCAAAACAAACACCTCCGCTATTCTGAAGCCTCCGCTCTCCTCCAGCGGCACACCTCCGACCCCTTCCCAATCACGTTTGTTGGAAGGAGTTATCAATTAGAACGCACCATAATTAAGCACCATCAAGCACAAGCGGCGGACAAAATTGTCCTTTGCTTGAGCTGCAATTGAGTGTGGCCTGCGTTGTTGTGTTAGCAGGCTAATGTTAGCTTCACATTGCACATAAATCTACACGAAATGACCAAGAACACTGTTGTATTTGTGTAAAACGTTGCACATTCTGCCTTTAAAGTAGATAATAATCTTGCATCTGTTTGGTCAGACACATCTTAATGTCATCATTGTTGGTGTTATGTTGTCAAGACCTGAACATTGGGTACCAATTCCGTTCGTTTTCAGATGTGAAATGATGTTCTGAGTAAACATAGCAGATTGATTGTGAAGTTAATGTTTCTCAACCACTTCCTGTTATGTCCTTGTTTTGAAAATGGGAAAACGGTAGTACAACCTTTATTTAGCAAATAGCAATACAATAATCGAATGTTTCTGCCATACTCTCAAAACCTAAAGACAAAAACACTTGCTGCTACACTGTCAGTTAACCTACGGGTGAGATAGACTTGATTCATCTGTGGTCTGTAAATTAAGATGATTACTGATACAAACACTTAATCCATGTTCCCTAGATTACCAGCCTCAGTGATGTTTCACTTCAAATAAGGAAACTGTCGAGCTACGTTATAGCTCGATTAGGCCATTTAACTGGACTACTGTCCTTGTCCCCTTATACAGCTAGTAACTATTGGACTGTCTTCTGGTTGACCTTTCTAACTAGTTAGCAAGCAACAAACTGGTTACAGTATATGTGGTATAAGCTCTGTATATTTCATAAATATATATTTTTTCTGTGTTTTCGCTGTTTTGTAAGTGAAGCAGGGTTTTAAATTTGATGCAAACCGTAACTGGGAGCCAGTGGAGGGAGATGAACAACAGAGTGACCTGTGCTGGTTGAAGACCAGTCGCGCTGCTGCGTTTTGGATCATCTACAGGGGTTTGATAGTGCATCCAGGAAGACCTGCCAGTATGGAGTTTCAATTTCGGGAATGTCAGGTATTAAGTCGAAATACAATTTGGACAGTAAAGATTAAATACCGAGGAAAAAAAGTCAAAATGTCGAGAGTCAAGTACTACTTTGTGAAATTTTGTTTGACTCTCGAAATTGTATAGCCTATACTATTTTATTCTCGACATGTGGACTTTATTCTCAAAATGTTGACTTTTTTTCTTGCAGTGCATAATAAATCCTCTCATTATTTATTCGTCATGCCTGGCCCTAATCCTCTTCTGTAATTTAATGATTCAATATCCATTCAGTATCTTAACATACCTACATAGACAGGAAATACTAATTAAATTTAGCCTACTGACCACTTTAATAAACTAAAACAAATCTCAGGATTTCACTCAGGTCAGTGTATTTTTGTAATTGTGACTTTAGTGCGTCCCATCAAGGGTTCATTGTCAAACTCTTGAGTGTACATGATGAAGGAGAGGTGAACCCAGAGGACATTTTGTAAAGTCATTGCTGCTGTATTCCTGTGGGCACTTGCAGAGCCTCTGTGGTCATCACTAATGAGTTTACAATGACCTTATCACACTTGATGGTATTTTTAACACATACACTCTAAAGGGAACTGCTTATCTGTGTGGAAAATAGAACATGTGGACTTGCTTTTATTAAGTCGTAGATGTTTACAGTGTGCCTTCTGCCTGTTATGAGAGGCAGAGAAAGCCTGTGTGCGTGTGTTTGCGTCCGTGTGTGTGTGTGTGTGTGTGTGTGTGGCGGAGGAAGAGAGGAGGGAGGGGGAGCTTCATGTGTAAGCCAATGGGTGCAGAGCAGCTTTAATGTCATTTCTCGACGCTTTAACTTGGTGCCAGAGCAGCGAAGCGCTCAACCCTGCTCCGCGTCCTCAACTCTCTTACCGTATCAACGATCATCATGCACTGAACGACTGCGACCAGAGAGCTGATTCAAGACTCAAAACAGCACGGAGTTGTGTTTGTCGGATGCAGTTTGCCCGTATGCCTCCCTCCACAGTCGTGATTTCATTCTAAAAAAAAAAACGGAATACTCAGCCCCGAAAGCGGACCAAGTTTTTGCAGTTGAAAGGTAAGTGTGAAGTTTTTTTTTTTTTCTTTGACTTACTCTAATCATTTTTATTTATTCTCTAAACTTTTCAATGCGGTTTAAGTGTACATAGTTGTGCCTGGATGTTGTAAAAAAAAAATAAAAAGGTTTAGAGAGGCTTGTTTGTATTCATCTTTTGGAAATCATCAAGCACCATCAAGGATAACAAATGAAAAATGAATCGTCTCTTCATTTATCCAATGCAAAACACAGTAAAAAGGAAGGTGGGTGGGATATTTGAAGCTTTGAGACACATTTTCCCCCCAAAAAAGAGGAGAGAAAAAAGTGAATCTGTGGTTAGGTGTGGGGGGGATTTTAGCTCGGAAAGTGTCTGTGCGTTAAGACGCACTTAATGGAGGGTTGCGTTTGGGTTTCCAGATGTGTGAACTCAGCTGTTGCTTGTCACTCAGGTGGTCTCTCTCTCTTTGCCTGTCTACTCCTTTTCCTTTTTCTTTACGAGCCTCCTCCTCGGAGTCCTTTCATGCAGCTCCTCAGTATCACATCAGTGTTGAATGACCACAGCCCGAATCCTCAGAGACATTACGGAGTGAAAGCCACAACAGTGAACCAAGTTACCAAGAAAGACATTTTCTCGTACGCAGATCATACCGCAGACATAAACGTACTTTTCAAACAAACTTTGGAGTGGTAGCCTTTGTTTTATTTCATTTGAATCAAATTGTTTCAGAATGATAGTTTGAACAATGGGCCCTCTTTTCAGATGCTGAATTTAATCTCAAATGTATTTAAAAAAAAAAAATCATAAAAAAGGAAAAAGAGACTGACTATGAGCCCTTGTTTGGATGGACTTTGCAGTGCTGTGTCATCTGTATTGAAGCCAGTGGTGGCACCTAGTGGTGGTACTTATTTTTTAAAGATGCTTGCATTATGAGCTGTAGGCTTTTTGCATTTCTGCGTTTGAGTTTTAAACCTCCAGTAAGCATGTTCAACAAAACCACTATCTGATCTGCAGCTTCATTTTGAAATGATTACAAATTGGGGATGATTTGATGTGAACATTTATTGGCTGTGTCGCAGTTTTCCATGAGATCTCATGTCATCTGGCTTGCTGTCTGTAACTGAATGACATGCTGCTGTGTAGTTAGCTGATCCCGGATGAGAGCAACTGAGGATCAGGTGACTGGAGGTGTATTTCCCCTCAGTGGGGGGGCCAGTCAGCCAGACTATGCTACACTTTGCTGGGGGTGTACGCTCACTGCAATGCTAAGCCTCTGTTAATGAGTATCTGCATGTGTGTGAGTCCTTGTCTGTGTGTGGTACTCAGTGCGAGTGGTTGTGGGTCTGCATGTCTGTTACCTTTGTGTGTGTGTGCATGTGTTAGAGAGAGAGAGAGAGAGAGAGAGAGAGAGAGAGAGATAGGTGTTTGGAAGCAGGAGTTAAGCTGCTGTTAATTGGTCAGCTATTTGGACCACATGGGAGTCGAGTCAGGAAGTATCTCAAATTATAGGTATTCTAAGCCTGATTACTATAACAAACAACATTGATCTTGTGATTTCATATCTTGTGTGCAGCAGTACAGTTTGGGAAATCAATCAAACAATCAACATTTATTGATATAACGCTAGAAATAAAATAATAGAGAAAGTCTTGACAATAGTCTTTGTTGTATTGTTTACAGGACGCAGACCTTATCCACCAATGTGCAGCCACAGACAGGCAGGAACTTAGAGCAGAACCAAACTCGTTGGTCGAAATCTATCTGCCATTAACGGCTTGGTTGAGAAATACATGTATTGTATGCTAAATATGAAGCTACAGCAGGCAGCTGGTCAACTAAGCATATTGCCATTATAATGGAAAAGGGTGGAAAGAGCTAGCTTGGCAGCTTAAAAGGAAAACACATCGCCCTTCTTTCAAATATTTTTTTAATATAAAGCGTTGTCAGTATGGAGTCAGCTGATCCAGAATGTCACTGACCATGAAATAGTCTGAAACAAACCATAAAACCAACAATTGTTCTTTGTTTATTCCTTACTAACAAAACATATACTTTGTTTGTTAATTAAATTAGCTTAACAAGGTTGCTTGTAGGCCCATTTTCATAGCTTTTTTTTCCGTAGCCATGCTAGCCTTTTTCCAGTTTCTGTAGAGCTAAGCTAGCTGTAGCCACATTTTACAGATAAGGGCTCCGTATCAATCTCATTATTTTATTCTTTACATGAAAGCAGGCAAGATAGTTAGCTAGCTTTGTTAAGCTGCTTTAACTCCAAAAAAGTGAAAGGTGGTTAAGTTTGGTAGAAGGATTTTGCTAGCTTAAAAAAACAAACAAAGGGAGCCGGGGTGAAATGTTTGAGAGTGTTTAAACATATAATAACCAGGAGGGTTGGAAAATGCTTTCGCTGAAGAGGCTATGAAGCCGTTCCTGAAGAGACGACCTTTAAAGTTCATCAAAACACAAACAACGACTCAGCATCTTATGTCATGCGTTTATAGTAGGCTACAAGCATTAGCCAGAGAAGTTGACAGAGTTTGAATGCATCCTTGACTTTTGGCTCGAACTGCTTTTTTGTTCTCGGGCAGTTTCTAAACTGACAGGCTCATTTTTCAAAACAGTATCTCCAGATGAGCGTCTCCATCCTACAGTTCTTCCTTTTTCTTATATGCAACCCAAATTCTCATCCTCTCCAGCAAGCTTCAAATGCCAGAGAGGAAATCCAGCCTGGAGATGGTTCTGATATTGTTGGACTCTCTCCTGGAAAATCGTTTTTTGCTCAATGGCCAACGGTGCTCTGGATTTAGAGCCATTGACTCCTAAGCCAAAACACCTCGTCTGATCACAGCAGTGAAGCTGTTTGAAGAGCTCAAGATGTGCTGTGTTTGACATTCAATCGATTTTTGACACTTAGAACATGAAAGACAATCCTCGGCTAGCTTGAATTATAAATGTTCCTACCTTGTGACGTTTTAAAGCAGTCTGAAGGACATTCTATTACAAAGACAAACTGTTACTGTTTACATTTTTTTTGCAGGCTGACTTTAGGTTAGGGGTTGTACAGAGATTTAACAGATTTCCTGTGTCTCAGTTTTTGAGTTGGAACATAGATTGGCATTACATTAAATAAATGGAACCAATAAGAAACTTAAACATGAATGTGAAGTGTGTTTAAAAGTGTGTGTGTGTGTGTGTGTGTGTGTGTGTGTCTAAAAAAAAAAAGAGCGCAAGACCTCCATCTATTAGTAAGTCAACACTGTTCTGTCTGTGCGCCGCTGTCAGCCTAATACCTCAGACCAGCGTGTGTACACACAGGCAGGTTTGTGCTGTCATACTGGAATTAATTGAGTGTGGGGTTGTGTAAATCATTCCAAACCTCAGAATACACTTGCCAAGTAGCTATCCACTGTAGTTCTGTGTGTTGGGCTAAACAGCGAAGGACTTCTCACTGAACTGGAGAACCACAACAGTGACAACCTGACATTTCTGGGAAGAGCAGAAATTAAAAAAGTAATCTTAAATGGAAGCCAGCCAGTTTAACCAGTACAAGGAGCAGTATTACTGGTGCTGCTGGAGATTACAACCAGTGCTGCAACCAACACTGACTAATCAAACATTCCAAATACGTACTGGTCAGAGTTTCTAGAAAATGAAAAACAGCTGCTTATTCTTTTTTTTTTTATATATATATATATATTATATATATATATATATATATATAAATAAAACTATAGAAGTCAACTTTGGTTGTGAGCGATTGTAGTGTTTTTTCCCCACTTTGTTTAGACTGAACAACTAAATTGGAGTAATGCAATAGCATGGGTCTGAATTGTGATCTCTTTTGGATACTTTTTTTGTATCCCTGATGTTTATTTGGTCCGTGTTTTTCTTTTTTTTACTGCTTCTTTTGTATGGTTTCTTTTTTTAGGGACAGTTGTAAAGAGACAGGAAATGTGGGGAATGAGCATTGGGGATGACATGCACCAAATAGCTGCAACTCACTAACTCTACATGTGATGTAGACATGGACATATCTGATTAAATTCAACCTTTCTGAGGGTGATATATTTGGATGGAAATATTGCAGTGTTAATGATGAAAGACAAGTTAACAGTGTGTATAGATGTTGGCCTACAGTAGCCATGAACACCCGGCTGTTGAGGAGTTGAAGGGTGCGGTGTGTAAATGTGTGCTGCAGTCCTTGATCTAAGAAACACTAATCGAGATCCTTGTGCACACTGAGCGGTTACAGAGCGAAACCCTGCAGGCCACATTGGCTGCACAAGCCTGGTATTATGGTCAGCTTGTGGGGAGAGAAAGTAATCCAGGGCTTAGAAGAATATCAGACACTGAGTAATGGACTCTAAGAGGGAGTTACACACCACTCTGTTAAAACTTGCAGGGAGGCAGAAATAAAGTTGCCCCCAGCACTTGCTAAGCGATGCAATACTGAGGTGTTGTTGAGCGATCCCGACTCGTGCCTGCGAGTGAGAGTCAATTTGGCACCACCTTAATTATCTATATACACAGCTCTATTTGATGATGATTAAAGCCACTCAAAAAAAACACACTCACACACGCCTGCCCAGACACTGCCAGTCGCCAGCCTCGGTGGTTATGGAGACATTAAAGGTGATGATTATTAGATGATAATAATTAAAAGGCTTTAAAGCTCCAGTCATGGTAAATAGTATAGCTAGGAACACAGTCTCGTTTAGGAAGACAAGATTTCTGTTCAACAACCACGTAATTACTCCACGTCAAATGACCACCCTGAGGGAGAACACAAATGATAGCTCTCAGTTTTGTTTTGGATTGGGAAGAACATAAAAGGTCTCCATAACAGGTTCTGGTTTGTTGCGTGGGACATCACTCAAACAGTATTGCTGATGTGTTAAAAACCCGACCTTATTTAAGTGATGATGTTACACAGTTTGATGTTTGTAAAGGTTTGGTTTGATGTTGTTTAAGACAACAAGACCTTTTGAAGATGCATGGTTGACCTGCAGTTTGTGAGCATGATTAAAAA